CCACACCCACCCCCACCACCCACCACCACCCACCACCACCACCCACCACCACCCACCCACCACCACCACCACCACCCCCACCACCAGCCACCACCACCCACCCACCACAACCCACCACCACCACCCCCACCCAACCACCACCCACCACCAACCACCACCCACCACCACCACCACCACACCACCACCACACCACCACACCACCACACCACCACCACCGTCCATCAACATCCTCACCACCACCACCACCACCACCACCACCACCACCACCACAACCACCACCACCACCACCACCACCACCACCACCACCACCACCACCACCACCACCACCACCACCACCACCACCTGCACCTAATATAATACACCACCTGCTGCTACAAATACGAGCACCGCAATGACCACAACTACTTTTTTCATTATTGTCTTGTATGGTCGGTGTCGGTGCGAATACGGTCATTATTGCTATTGTTGTTATCACAGTTAGTATTGTTATCATTGTTAGTTTTCAGCGCTCTGGCGTTGAGACTCTTTGGCTTTGAAGATACCGCACCTTATGTGTAGCCAGGCAATATGTTAGGGGCCAGATCGGGGGTTTATAATTTTCGCGAAGAGGGGCTCAGCCCCCAAACCCAAAACCCCAACCCCCAAAACCCTCGACCCGAAAAACCTCAAACCCTCAAAGACCTGAAGCGTCTGGAGAATGCCCGGGCTGCCGGATTCAACCGAAGTCACCAGGGTTATGGGCTTGAGGTCCTGAAGGGTGTTCCTTGAGGTTTAAGGAGTTTTGGGATTTAGGCCGTTTAGCTGGCAAAGGGGTTTAGGCCTTCAGGGCTCTAGGGTTTGCTTCTGCCAGGAGCCACGTGGGACCCCACGGCAGTTCCCGTGCGATTTCTGGGGCACGGCATCGCGGACATCAAGCCGCCGAAGATGAGCTCCCTCCTGAGAGTTTTTGGATTCTACGCCCAATCCCCCCCAAATCCCTAAAGCCTATAAGGCCTAGAAGGCCTATAGGCCTGTAAAGGCCTATAAGGTAGCAGGCGCACGCAATTAAGGAAGCCACTCCCTCCTGTCATTGGCAATGAAGGAATGTATATCTTCTTGCAGCTGTGGTCTTTCAGGGGGCTTTCGAATCCTAGGGGTGTTGTGGGTGGTTTAAGGGACCTGCTACTATTTTCGACGGAAAGTATTCGCCACAAGCAACGCTGCCTCTACTTGCTGACCAATAATGACAACCCTTGAAACTGAAGAGCCCAATCCAATGCCAGCGATCAGGCTACACAGGTAAGCCCACCGCCTCCCCAAAGAGCGAGTCCCGGAGGCGGGGGGGTCGGCAGTGTCGTGGTGGCTTTTGGGGGTTTGGGGGGTTGGGTTGTGGACTGAAACCTGTGATCAGTCGAAACCCTGAACTTTCTAAGCCTTGCCCGGGGTGGGGGGGAGTTGTCTAGGCTTAGGGTTGAAGGCTAAACCCAAATCGAAACTCTATCACGCAACGCCACTGAGCATGCAGGGCACAGGGCTTGCAGAGCCTCGCGCGATGGAAGCCCCTCTTCCAGGACTTTGGGTGCAAGCAAACACGTAGTTACAGGAAGACCCCACTTGGAGGTTCATGGGTTCAGGGTTTACGCCTTCAGGGTTTCTGGGGGAAGCGAAAGCCTTTTGAGAGCCCGAACTTTTCGAGTTTAGAGAGCTTATCAGGCTTACGTAGAGTCGAGAGATCCTCCAAGCCCTCGGAATCCCAGAGATGCCCAATTTCAGGCGCCCCAAACAAACAGTCTCCATCGAAATCTCCATTCTTGCGAGCGTTCTTTTGTTGCGCAAGCCCTTCATGTTTGGGGCATGAGAGCTCCAGGACCCTACGTTCTGCGGCGAAGCGCCCGACATCGGCCCCTGGTCTTGACACACTGCTTGGTTTTGGATACTTTTTGGATTATAGAGAGTCAGGGCTCTGTTTTTTTGAAGTGGAGAATGGTTTACACCGGTCTGTTGCAGGCAGTCTTTGTGTTTACTTACATGTCGCGGGTTGCGAGAGGAGCAGGGCGCCCCCTAAACTGCCCAGGTTTGTGTCTTGATCAGAAGGTCCGAATTCGACGGGACTCAGTTCTTGTCCGTACTGGGGCAATGGTTTTTTTGGGTGCAAGTGTGTTGCTAAGAACCTCAGCAGAGAACCTCAAGAATGGAGCGTGCGAGTGGAGCAAGAGGTCCTCCTTCCAAGGAACATTTGCCAAACTCTGGCCCCTCGGCCTGAACTTAGAACTTATAAGCCCTACCTCGCCAGCCCGCGGAGGACCATCATTGCACGAATGTCCTAGTTAGGTCCCATGCTGTCTGCACTTCAGGCGCCGTCCGCCGGCTGCGAGCTCAGGAGCTTTGAGCTTGCTGCCCTGGGGAACCCAAACTTGATACAAAGCAGCCTGGAGTTGAAGGGTGAGGCGACCCTATGGACCCTGTAGACCCGAAACCTGGGGGAGGTTCCTTCGGAAGAAGCTGCCGCCCCGAGCCCAAGGTGCGCGTCCGTCCCCAGGTACGTCAGGGACAAGAGACGAAGCCTGGGCCTCTGCGATGTTCGTGCTGTCTCGTGCTGTCTCGTGCTGCTTCCGCGTCAAACTCCACGGAAGCTGGGGGAGCCAAGTTATCTTGGGGGTCTTGAAGCTTCAGCACGAGAGCTTTCACCTCGTTCCTTGAGAGAGGGGCTTCAAGGGCCGTTGGGGCCTTGGGATGTTGCTCGGAAGTTTTGGGGCTTTGTAGGTTTTAGACTTTTGGGGCTTGGAGTTTAGGACTTTTTTTGATTGCGGGGTTTGGGGGTTATTAGAGGTTCTAGGGGGTTCGAGGATGTGAGTGCTCGGTGCGTTGGCACCTGCCCGGCTGCGTTGCAGGCTTCGTCTTTGAAGAGCAGGCGGAGGCCCCGAGAGGGAGCAAGGAGCAAAGGAGCCAAAGCACAGAACATGAAGAGTCCCCCGTAGCACCACCTTAGCCGTCTGGGCTTCCCGGACGGCGGGGCCACAAAACGAACCAACTTGGCCTCAGACCACAGGCGGTGCTGTCTCCGGTATCTCCACGACAGGGATGGCCGCTCGGCTCGGTGCGTAGTCGGGCTTAAGGTTTGAGGCTTTGAGGGCTGTGCCATGTGCACCCTAAGCCCTCATCTCTAGAGCCCCTTTGCCTACGCCGGAAGCTCAGGACTCTTCCAACAACGTACCAGAAGAACCTGACCAAGCTCAGGGTGCATCGCTCACTTCGTGATTTGAGCGCGTGCAGCCATACTTCTTCGCAACTCTTCGGCGACATGCCCAAAGCCCTTGCAAAGGAACCTTCAACCCTTCAGCCCCTACAGCCCGACACCCCTAAACTCCTACAACCCAGAATTCCTGGTATCGGCTGGCAGTGCCACTGTTCTTTGGAGGGGCTCAGGGTCCACTAGGAGGGGGGGGGGTTCTTGGAGCTCTAAGTTTGGTATCTGTTTTTGTTTTGTTATTGTGTGTGTGTGTGTGTGTTCTTTTGGTTTGTGTTGTTTTATATGTTTTTAGGTTTGTTGGGTTTCCATTGTTTCACGTCGAAGGTTCAGGGGCCATCGGGCTTCTGCCCCAAAGCCCTCGACCCAGAACTAGCAAACAGCCACTCTTGCGAAGGGGCTGGCGGCCCGCCGCCACTCTGACATATCCGAGCAGGCGGGCTGGCTTCCAGCTTGCGTGTGTTTCGAGTTTAACTCTCAAAGAGTTTGCAAGCCTATTTCATGCCAGCGGAATGAAAACTACGTAGGTTCGCGGTGCGTAGTTTCCACTGCGGACTGGAACAGCGCTTTTTGTGATGCATGCATGTGTTTGACCTGTGTCTTTGATGGATCAAATTCGCCCTGTTGGGGCCCCGGGCGACTTCTGTGCACACGACATCCCAAGCAGGTGTTCACTGATATTGTGCAGTATGCTGATTGGATTGGGACGTGTTGCAGTAAGCCCAACCACACCGCTACTTGTTTTTGTTGTAAAAGGGCCATGGCAGTTTCTTTGGGTTTAGGATTTGGGGATGCAAACGGCTGTTTCAATATATTCATGATGATCATCTGCAGCGGAAGCGAACGACCTTGCATTACATTTTCACTGTTTTTTATGTCTCTCTCTCTCTCTCTCTCTGTTGTGTGTGTGTGTGTGTGTGTGTGTGTGCGTGTGTTATGTGTGTATGTTGGTTGGCGTGCTTGGTAAAACGCATCCCAAGCCCCAAACTTTTGGAATCGAAAAAATTAGAGAGGAAAAGAAAACACAAAAAAGCAAGAATGAAAAAGAAGGACGAATCTACACTGCCAGCCCTTCAAAAATCACACTCTTAACCCTCGCAAGAGCCACCACCGTCACCACGACGACTATGACTGAGGGTAAGGAACGCCATGGAAAGCCGTAGAATAGAGGCCAGAGTGCAAGAGTCAGAGTCAGGGTTTAGATGGGTTTAGGGCAGTTTAGGGTCACATGGCCGTTTTTTCTGAGTGCTGCGAAGCGCTGGAACTTCAGGGCTCCTGGGCTCGGCGGAGCTCCCTCGCCTCCTCGGACCAGGCCTCCGCTCTCCTCGCTCTCCTCTCTTTGCTCTCTTGGCTCTCTTTGCTCTCTTGGCTCTCTGTGTGCAGAGTGTGCAGAGTGTGCGTAGTGTGCATAGCGCGGGGGCTCTTCTTCTTACAGGGCGAGGGCTTTTCTGGGGGTTCCTTGCTCGTCGCTCGTTCCGTCACCTTGTTTGCTTCAGCTGTTTTGTGTGAGTTTCGTGCGCGTAATGTAAAGTGAATGGTGGTGCCGGTAGTGGTGGTGCTGGTGGTGGTGTTGGTGGTGGTGGTGGGAATACCAACAAGGGGTCGGGGGTGGGGGGAGCTTAGGTCTTGTTTAGGGTTTACCAGGTTTTAGAGTGCGCGGATGTATTGGGCTTTGTTTGGATTTTGGGTGACGAGTTGAGAAACCCCAGGCCGGGCAAGCCCTCTAATCCCAAAACCCCAAAACCCTGGACCCGACATCCGACAGCCACCTCAGGGCAGCGTCGGCAACCCTGTGAGCCCGCTCCGCTCGGTTCCCAGCAGAGGGCTCCCCCAAACCTTTCCAGAGGCGTGCCAGCCAAGAATCTACGACACAACGTTGTGGGACCCCTGTTTATTGTGGATTTACGGTTTGCATAGTTGACGCTATGCTTTCCCTCACTTTTCCCTTAAAACTCAAGTCTTGGCTCACTCTAACACTAATGTCAATGGCAATTCATCTTAGCAAAGTCTGGATTTGCCTACGTGTTGTTGTCTTATCACTACTACATTACGACGATTACTGATTACTACCCCTGCTGCCACTACTACAACTACTACCACTACTACCACTACTACCACTACTACCACTACTACCACTACTTCCTGCTTCCGTTACTTGCGCTACGACGACGATTGTTACTACTGGAATTATTCTTCTTACGATTATTGCTGAAGAATGAGTGAGAATGAGAATACTCGTGATAGCAAATAGCTTGCGCCCCAAACCAACCCTGCCACCCCAGCCTCTTCATCTACCATGTGTAACGTGCTCCCAAGATGGATGTCGGGGTCGATTGTGGGGGGTCGATCTAAATTCTGGAACCTTTCGGGACCTTTCGGGTTTAGGGTGGCTTGGGGGGGATTCTGTTCTGGAATACCCTTCGTATTTTGGGGTAATGAGAGAAAGGTATTTGGATCCCCCCCCGGTGCTCAGGGGAATTTGCGCTCTCACCGGGTGTGGTGCGCAGCATGTCAGGGAGGGGGACTGGAAGGTTTTTGGGCCTGGGCCCTACATCCTAGAATTCCTATACCCATAAGCCCTTAACCCTCCAAACACGAAATCCTAAAACACCGTCGCGGAATCCTAACCCTAACATGCTAAAACGGATTTGTCGGTTTCTTGTGGGGAAGGTCAGGGGCGCAGCAAAAGCCAGATGAGTGCCAGCAGTGCCTTGGATGCATCTGGGGCTTTGGGCTGTAGGGATGTCAGGGTTTGGGGTTTGGGGTTCAAGGAGTTTTTTTTTCCCCCTGAATTTCTTCAGACCCGAACGGGTAGATAGGAGCTTGTGTTAGGCAGCTCATGCAAAGCAGACGAGCCCTCTAGACTCCGGACATCTTCCACAAGCAAAAACTCTGTTGCAGCGCCAGCATGCCTTTTCCCACGCAGCCCAAAACCCCTAATGCCCCATCAGTGTTGATGCCCAGGTGGCGGATTCAGCGACGTGTCGGTCCTGCCAGCGCCACTTTCGAAGGGTTTAAGTTTGGGGTTCAGGGAGCCGGGCCCCCAAACGTGCACCCTGATCAAGGGCACTTAATTATAACCCAACTTCAGACTCTAAACCCCTAAACCCCTACACCCCCAATCCCTGACCTTGATGAGCCTCCCAGAATGCCAGGACGTCGGAGGCGGCACGAGTCCGCTCTCGCCCACTCTGGGGGCTCTTTATCGCACCTCCAGCAAGGCATGTAGGGCTTGAGGCTTGAGGCTTGAGGTCAGGGTTCAGAGGTCAAAGGCTGAAGTGCTTAGGGACTCTCTGCCATACCCGGCTTCAGGAGTCGCGCCGAGCCAGCAAAGATCGCCGGGATAGCAGAAATAGTGCGCACAGTGATAGCGGCGGCCTGAGCCAGGGTTTGAGGCATCGATCCCTTCGGCTTTGGCCCCTCCACCCCGATGTCTTGGACAATCCCCCCGACATGAAATATAGCGTGCAGATGCAGGGCAAAGGGCACCCCAAACCTTAAGCCCGGAATCCTGCTCCAACCCTAATAATAAGCCAAAAGCCCAAAACCCCTGGGCGTGTCCCAGGCGCAATGTCTGACATCTCCGATGCTCCGGCCCTCCACACGATGGACCACGCCCAGGCAGCGAGCTGCCGACTTTGAATGCTTGAAGACCGAACTCCATGAAAGGCTGAACCACCAAAGCCACACATGCATCAACTTTCTCTCAACCCAAGACAAAGGCATGCCCAGAAGAGGCATCCGCCCCAGAAATCCAGCCACGGCAGGTGTGTGCTTTGGCCTCGGTGGATGAGGAGGACAGTGGCCTCGTTGGGAGTGCTTCTAAGGGTGCAACTCCTGTTAAGCGCCCTAAGGAGGGTTATCCTGTAGCTCACGTTGCGCGAACCTGACCCCATAAGCCTCCAGGAAGGGTTCTAAGGAGTTGGGATTTAGCCCAAACCACGAACTTGGGTAGGCCCAAGCCATAAAGCGGTAGGTAAACAGAGTCCCAAGAACATGCTCGATGCAGGAGTCCCACTGGCCCAACAGCCACTTTAAGATAGCGCCTCATAACTCATAACCCCCAAAACACCTCTCCAACCCACCACGCAATGCTTGTAAGCGCAGGACGACCGGCAGATCGAAGCATCGCCGCGCGGCGGCGCGCATCCTCCGCCGCTGGCACCGCCGGCGCGGCAGCCCGAACTCCGATTCCCGAAGTGTGCGTCGGAAGCCCTGAAGCTGACAGCCGCGACAGCCCCACAAGCCCACAAGCCCCTGAAAGTTTCAAGTGTCCGGGATCCTAAAGCCCCAAACCCTGCACCCGAGAATATCTGAAACCCTGTCTCAGGAAGAGCCTAGAAGGAAAGCCCTGAAGCTGCAGCAGGTGCCCATAGCCGCTCAGATCCCGCGACCTGATGGCGAGGCTCGATTTCCTGGCTTTTGGCTCCTTTCGCGTAGATGGGTTTCTTGTTCTTCTCTGGGTTTTTTTGTGGGGACGGAGGAGCTTGACAAACGTCAGGGGTTTTAGGAGTAGCTTGGGGCGGTCTGGGGCGCTTGGGGCTTACGTGGAGTTTAGGGTTCAGGGCGTCAGGGGTTTAGGGCCTTAGGTGTTCGCGCAGGTTCAGCGACCATCGGAGGGCTCAGAGCTCGTCTCATGCTCGACTTCTCAAAACAGTTGGCTCCTGTAGTCCCTTCATACTGGCAGCACAATGTCACGAGTCCGCGCAGGTGCCTGCCCATGGCGAGGATGAGGATGTGCGTTTGCACCATCGCCTTGGAACTAGGGCGGACACCTCGCAAAGCACTCTGCAGATCAGGGAAGCGTTCTAGAAACGCCTGCGGGGTTAATTACAGCAAAGGAAGAAATCATGCAGAGAAGAGCTGAAGCCGCCACTCCCCATTTTCCCTTCAACTGCAACATGAAAGACCTTGTTCTGGCTACTCACCTTTTTCCCACCATGCTGTCATGGCTTGTGAGAAGGATTTTGTCTTGATGTCTTCGTGGGGCGAAGTAGCAATCGTTGCAAACCCAGGTCGTCTGAGACAGCACTGGGCGAGGCTTCGGTGTTGGAAAGCAAAGCAAATGTACCAAGCTCTTCTTGGGGCACTTGTTTTTCAAACCGCATCGAGCCTCCATTAGTATGCAAACCTCTGCAGCCAACCCTAAAGCCCTAAACCAACAGGGGGTTGTTGTACACCAGGCTCTCTCCGTATAGGCGCATGTTGCAGGTGGTTGCAGTACGATTCCTTGCAAAATGCCCCTTCGCACGGCACGCAAACTTGAAGCACCCCTAAGCCCTAAACCCCGCTTCAAAACTTTGAAGCTCAAGGGCCGTCGTCTTTGCAGGAGTTCACTGATCTGGCTTTGAGAGCAAGCGTTTCAGGCGCCTGTTTGCACGGTCAGCTTAGGACCCAAAGGGCTTAGTTATAGGAGGTTGTAGACCCCAGAGTGGGGCGGATTCCAAGCATGGATGACACAGTTCCACCGGCTTTGGGTGTGTGATGCGGGGATGTTTTTAGCACAAGGGGCTTTCGCAGCTCTCAAAAGAGACTGGAAACGCAAGTCAGTACAGAAACGAGAAGAGGGATGGCCCGAAAGCATCGATTTGCCGTGCGTTGAGTCCATGCAGTTGACTCTTTGCACTCGAAGTGTATGCACTTGGAGAAATGCATGCACTTACATGGTTGCATAGTCACTTCCGCGACCACGCGAAAACCCGCAGAGGGGTTACGTTTGCATGTCAAGAAACGCAAAAACACGATGGTTTTGGCACCGCGCCAAAGCCGAAACCCGCAGAGGGTTGTCTGCGGCCACGAAAAAAAGTTCCAAACACGACGGTTTTAGCACCGCGACCCGGCGATTAGCCGCAGAGGGTTGTCCGCGGCCAGAAAGAAACGTAAAAAAACGACGGCTTTAGCACCGCGACCCGGCGATTACCCGCAGAGGGTTGTCCGCGCAAATCAAGAAACGTAAAAAAACGACGGTTTTAGCACCGCGACCCGGCGATTACCCGCAGAGGGTTGTCCGCGCAAATCAAGAAACGAAAAAAAACGACGGTTTTAGCACCGCGACCACGCCGAAACCCGCAGAGGGTTGTCCGCGCAAATCAAGAAGCGTAAACAAACGACGGTTTTAGCACCGCGACCACGCCGAAACCCGCAGAGGGTTGTCCGCGCACATCGAGAAACGTAAAAAAACGACGGTTTTTTCACCGCGACCCGGCGATTACCCGCAGAGGGTTGTCCGCGGCCAGAAAGAAACGTAAAAAAACGACGGTTTTAGCACCGCGACCACGCCCGATTGGCGATGTCAACCCAGCCCGCCGCCTTAGAAAGAGTAATTTTAATTTGAAAAATCTAGGACTGGGTACGAAGGTCTACTAAATTCTACGTAAATCACGTAATTTCTATTAGCTTCTACTTCACTCTATGCACTTCACTCTATGCACTTCACTCTATGCACTTCACTCTATGCACTTCACTCTATGCACTTCACTCTATGCACTTCACTCTATGCACTTCACTCTATGCACTTCACTCTATGCACTTCACTCTATGCAACTCTATGCACTTGACTCTATGCACTTCACTCTATGCTCTTCAGTCTATGTTGTTGGGTCAGAGGGCTCCGCACGGAAGAACCCTTCGCGATGCTTTCGGGAAAAATCGTATTGTATTGTGCTTTATTGCATTCCGTTGCCTTACATGTCTCAGAACAGTATCAAGAAAGATAAATAAATCAATGTATTTATATATATATATATGTAGAGATAGATATGTGGTTAGGGCTTGGCACCCCTCCTTCAAAGCCTTCAAAGCCATGCGCCCCCAAAAGGCACCTTCTCCGGGGGCCTAATGTCCCAGCCCGCGAGCCCCAGCTTCCCGTTGGCCGGGACCTCAGGTGGCGAGGTGGGCCCTCGGGAGATTTTCATTGGGGTTGCCTTTGTTGGCTGAGGACTCTAGGACCCAGAGTGGGCCATTAAGTATCTCCGTTTTAGGGGTGAGGTTTCTGGATAAACCCCCTTGAGCCAAAAAGGGTGCCCTTCTCAATTTTCGGTTACTCTGGGATGTAGTTGGGCTTCGTAGACTCTTATTTGGGACTATGTTTCTGTGAGAGTTTCATTTGTTTTTTTTCAGGGTTCCCCTGGGTTTACGGTAGGTTTTAGAGGGTCGGCGTGTCGGGCGTGCAGTCGCTTCATCGACTACGATGGGCATGATCTTTCCCCGAGTTTTATGAAAACCTCTCGGGCCTAAGACCACACCTTGGGGCCCTCAATGCCCCAAGCCACCCCCGTACACCCCAAAGCCTTAGCGGCCGGTTTCAGGGATTTAGGGGTTTAGGTTTTGTGGTTTGCTTGGAGGTTCATGGGTAGAAAGAGGGTTCGAAGCACAGTGACGTAGACCATAGACCTCAGCTACCCGTGAATCACCCAAGCAAAGCCTAAACCGTAGACCCCAAATCCCTAAAGCCTCATAGCTGCCAGTGAGACTCCAGGTAAGAGATGGTGAGGGTCCCCAAAAGCGTCTCCAAACCCTTTAGGGCATGCAAAAGAGGCCCTGCTTGGAATTGCTCTTCCTGGCGCCCGCGCCTTGTGGAGGGTTGTCCTCTCTTGGGGTTTAAGGGGTTTAGAAGGAGTGGGGGGTTTGGGGGTTTTTAGGTTCAGGGCTTCTCAAAACCTACTATAACCCAACTCCCTTACGCCCCAAACCGTCCTCGCTATCGTTCAGTAGGTACTTTTGATGATGATACTCGCTTTTTTAGAGCGGACACGCAGCAAGGGCCAGCTGATGCTGAAGGTGCTTGCCAGTATCGGCAAGTAATGCTGATGATGCTCACTGATGGTGGTTATCGGACACCCAGAAGGGGCCACCTGATGCTGGTGATGCTTGCCGTCATGGCCCGGGACTCCTAGCAAGCTGCTAGCTGATGCCCAGTAAGCTGCTTCCTGACAACCGGAAGAGGCCAGCTGATGCTGATGAAGCTTGCCATTATGACCCGGGCGCCTTGCCAGCTGATGTTGATGATGCCCAGCAAGAGGCCAACTGATGCTGATGATGCTCACCTTGATGGCGTTCCCCCCCCCCCCCCACCTGCCCCTGATATCAAGAAGGGTCCCCTGGTGCGTCACGGGTAGCATCATCACCATCAGTTGGCCCGGCGAAATACGGAGCTCTCGGCTGGAGCTGTTTTGGGGTTGAGGAGGCGGTTTCCGGGGGCCTTCGCGTCCACTGAGGTAGATGCGGAGTCTGTGCACTCAGCTTCTGACTTTTGCTTGTGTTCTTTTGGGGGGGGGGGTTCAGGGATTCGGCGGTCAGTCCAGGAATTGTGTTGGCGCTTTCGTAGGATTCTCAGGGTTTCAGGTCGATTTGCCGGTTTGCAGGCGGGGAGCGGGAGCTGGCAACAGCTTCCATGGGAGGGTGCCTTAGTGGTGGGTCTCAGGGGTCTTCACAAACTCAGGCTTTCCAGGTGTCATTCGGCTTGTTTGAGGTTGTGGGTCTCCGGCTTTTAGGCCTCGCAAGCCCAGAGCTGCCACCAAAACCCGAACCCTGAGGCCCTGACGAAGCCCAGCTGAAGTGAGGGAACCACAAAAGGCCCCCCTAAACTCAAAACCCATAGCTCCGCGACCGCGATGCTCCGCGATGCTCCGCGATGCTCCGCGATGCTCCGCGATGCTATGTGCCATGCGAGGCCGCCCATCGACTCGCATCGCACCAACAACTCGGACTGTTCCGGCCTCGAAGCGCCTGAGGGGTTTAGGGTTTAGGGTTTAGGGTTTAGGGTTTTGAGTTTAGGGTTTAGGAGGGTTGAGACCTTAAAAGGCCTTGGCAAACCTTTGCTGCATCCTTCCAAGCCCACGAAATTCCTTACAAGCACCCTTGGGAACCCCTAAGCCTCAAATTTCCCCAATGAATTCCTGCACCTCTACACCTTCAATCATCTTCAATCCCCTTGACTCCTGAGCTGTGGCCCCAGAAGTCTCATAAGTTTAGGATTTTCACGGTTTCGCCCTATGAAACAGAACCCACGAGAAACCAACACAAACTCAGAGCACCGACCAGAGGTGTCAGTGGCATCCTCCGGGATCTTGAGTTCGAGAAGGGCCTCATCGGGGGCCAGGCTGGTATTTGGGGCTCGGTTTGAGGGCTTTTGGGTTGAAACAAGAGCACCCCCTCCCCCGAAAGCCTCAACGGCTTCTCCTCTCCATCCCTCCCAGCCCATCCCAGCCCTTTTTGAGCCACAACACAGGACGACGATCACGTGCAGTCCAGGCCGCCGGGCGGCTTCTGGCCTTTTGGATCTTTTGGGCCTTTTGGGCCTTTCGTGGGTTTTGGGACTTGCGCGCTTTTGCTGCTTTTGCTGGATGTTTTTTTGTGTTGAAAGGGTGGAGAAAGGAAAGCGTCCCTAGCTTGCACGCCGTGGTGGCCGGCCTGCACTTGAAATCCCTGAGCCGAAACGCTTCAACCCTGCACCCTCTAAACCGCCATTGGGTTGTCTCTAAGGGCTTCCTATCACCGACGGAGCCCAGATTGAGGATCCCAAAAAAGGGGACACGGAGAACTGGGAAGGCAGACGGAGCCGACAGTCGGCGGCACCGATTCCCTGCTGGACGTGATGCAGCCTTCGCCGTGCTTGGGATGTGTGGCCTCAGGTTTTAATTGGGTTGCCACAGGGTCTCGAAATCTAGAAGCTTTGTGGCGTTTACTGTCTTGCATTGGCAGGTTTAACAGAGCTTCATGGTGTTTAGGCTTGGGACAGGGGGCCTTCCAAGAACCTCTGTCGAGCACAGTTGAATTTCGATAGTCCCATGTAAAGCTATCAATGCAGCCAACGCAAACTATTTCAGATGTCTAGCCTTTGGGGCGGAATTCTTGTTGAGTGTGGATTTGGCGCCCCTCCCTTCCGCCGACTGTCCCGCATCAAAAACAAACGTAGTGAGCAAGGAAGGCCGACAAACGCCACAACGCAAGCGAAACACCCACCACTCACCCACCCACCCACATACCAAGGCACGCAGACAACACACACAGACCACAGTAAAACAAACAAGCAAACAAACAAGCAAAATATGCAAGCAGACAAGCAGACTGCATGAGATGAAGAAAAAGAAACGTTGCAAACAAGCACAACTCAGCTTGGCATTCTCGATTTCTCCCGAGCTGAACCCCGGGTCGACTAAAGAGAGCCAAGAACGCCCAAACAGACTAAACCAGCCGCAAAAGGCCTTAAAACCCCTCAACAAAATGCCTCCCAATCAGGGCCTCCCGGGTTGAAGGCTGGGGGTGGAGGTCGGGGTCGGGTGGGAGTGGGGGGTGGGGGGGGGGGTGGGGTTGGGCCGAGGAGGAGGAGGAGCGACAGCACCTCATAACCCCATGTTCCCGTCCCGATGCAGAAGATACAGTGTACAGACACAACGAAACGAGAACAACAAGCATCCCAAAACCAGAGTGTCTCAGAGGTGGTGGCTTGCAGGTCATCGCAGCAACCAAGTGTGTTAAAGAAAGGAAAACAGGGCAACCGTCAACCCCGAGTCAATCAGGAAGAAGACAGCGAAGTGGGAAGGCCCCAAAAAGCATGGTATTTACAGTATTTACAGTAGTGTGTTTGCGTGGTGGTTGCAGGCAGGCGGGGCAAGCGGAAGAGGAGCAGGAAAGCAAGCGGCCTGAAGCCCCCTCGTAGCCAGGCATCACGAGCTCGGGCTTCCCTCGCCGTAGTATCGCGGCTGGCGCTCGGGAGTGTCTCCGAAAGAAGCTTTTCCGTGAAAGCCGGTTGAAGGGGCTTCGGGGGTGTAAGGCGGAAGGGTTGAGGGTGTTGACTGAGGGTTGAAGGGTTTAAGGATTCGTGGTTGGGGGGGCTTCTAAGTTGTGATTAAGGGTTTCAGGGGTGTCTGTGAAAGCTATGGCAGCCAGGGGCTCAAGGGGTTGTTAGGGTGTGCTGTCCAGGGAGGGTGGGTTTAGGGGTGCTTTTTGTGGCGGCAGTGTAGGTATTTCGTGTGGAGACACGAGTCATCACACAGAAAAACCTTATGTAGGTGTCTTCCTGCCGGCGGGGAGCAATATGTGGTCCTTAGTGGAAGAGCTGCGAAGCAGCTCGTGTCCGATGCTTTTTTGACATTCTTTTTCTTATTCTGCATGCCTGGAATGCATTTTCCGCCAGGTCAAATTGGGGTTTCTCTAAATTGTGGTCCCTTCGCTCTAACGTAGTGCCCTATATATATTGAGGGTGCCCGAAAAAAGGACCAGAATTTCAGGAACTGCCCATACGCCGGCGTTACGAGGCCTATGCCGGCCGACACGGGGAGGCTTCCCACAGTCCTCATTTGTAGGCCAAGAACACCCCCGCAGAGGTAACCTCTAAGAGGTCTAAAACTGCCGCGGGAGCAGCCAGACCACGGAAGCTTATCCCGGCTGTCTCACGCAGTCCCATGAGTTGGACTCCATTCGGTACGGCGTTTAAAGTATCTGGCTGCCCACAGCTAACAGGCATGCATCTGCCTGTGAACCTTGCGCCGATCCCCCCTGAACCCCAAAAAACACCCCCAAAACTACTAAAGTTACTAAAGCCCAATATGGGTATTTCCCAAAATAGGGGTATCCCTTTTATACCCCAAATAGAATAGAATCTCCTTGAAGAGCCCCCCCGAAAAGGGTACCCCTATTTTCGGAAACCCCCATATGCCTTCAAGAAGCGGGCGGCCGGTTTCGTTGCAGGCCTCGTCACAACATTTTGACAACGAGAGACCGTGACACTGCAGTTCCTGAGCAGCCTCGTGCGTCTTTGGGGCTTTAGCGGTTTAGAATGCAACGGGCTCATATGTGCTGGCTCTGCCGATGAGATAAGGCAAGGCCAGTATTGGGGCCAACAGGGCTAGGCATCGTTGCGAGTCACTTTCTGCGGTTCAAAGGTATAGTGACTTGCAAAACCCTTTGGCCTTATGGCTGCTGGCTATGGAAAGGGGCTGGATAGCAGGAACGATGTAGGAGCTTGCAGCCGTCATAGCACAGTTTTCAGGATCCATCCTTGTTCTCAAGAGGCTGACCCAGTGTCACAGCTCTTTGCAGGGTTATTGGTCGGGACACGGCAGATCGCTGAAGGCGCTGTTTGAAAGGAGGTGCGGTCCACGATGCCTGTGAATGTCTCGTTCTCGAGGTTGTTCCTAAACCAGCGTCATTCCAAGGGCTTCGGGTACAGCAGCTTCGCACGGACCTTGGTGCTCGGACCTTCCCAGCGGTGCAGTTGAATGTCTCCGGCAGCACAATGCATGTCGAGTTGATCTGCACATCTTCTTCGCTGTGGCCGCAGAGCTCTGACATCATCACATAGGGGGGAAACACCAGTGGCCACAGTCCAAAGTCCAAGGCAGGCCTTTTAACCCCCCCCCCCCACCATGGTCAATGGAGTCCTTCATTCTCCTTCATGAAGTACCAATATGGCCACTAACCACAAGGCTTTTGCTTCCCCTGTCGGGTGACGCCATGCCTCGACCTACCCAATTTCGAAATCCCAAAGCTCTAAACCCCCCAAGCTCATCACAGTCTACCTACCTGAGCCCCCAGCCCTTTCCGGCCCATGCGACCCAGCCCCCAGGGTTCAGGGTAGCGGCTTGACTTGTACAGTTTGTTATGGCATCGTCGGCACAGGCCTCAGCTTGGAAATCCTCGAGCCCTCAGCCCGAACCCTGAAGGCTCGTCTGTAGGGCACCACCCGAAATCTGAAAGGAACTTCATTGAACCCGGTAGGAATTCGGGTGCCTAGGCACAGCCCTAAACCATCTGATGTGAAGCTTGAAGCGCCCTCAACCTGGAGCTTCAAACCAACTCCTTGTTTTTTTTGTTCTGGAGATTCTAAGATTCCAAGCCCTTCGGCCTCCCCAACCCTCCTTGGCTCCTAGCCGAAGGAGAAGCTGAAGGTCCCAAACCTCCAACCCAGCATCAGACACACCTGGACCCTATGAGCCCTCAAAGTCTGGGTTTTGGGAGCGGTCCTGAGAGCCTGCCAGAAACTCCACAGCCACCTCCCCAGCCTCCGGCTACGGGGAGTTCAATTCAGGAAGTTCAGGGTGTAAGCCTTTGGGGAGCCCCGAGGCCTCTTCCAGCGCCGATGGCGACGGAGTCTCTGCCCCGGGTTCTGGGTTCAGGGATGTGGGGCATTGAGATGAGTTTGGGGTTTTTGGGCACAGGGTACTCGCAATCGGGCTTATTTTGGGAGGTCTTTCAGAAATTCGTCTCTTCTTCAAAAAAGAAGACGTGCAGAGGTTAGGGTTCAGAGCCCGGGTGGACTCCTCTGCGTCTCCAGTTTCTTTACGTGTAATTGAGTCTGGTTCTGAGTTCCCGGGGTTCTTAGCAGGAGAACTTAGGGGTTGTTGCTGTCGTAGTTATGGCTTCAGATGCAACGACCGCAACTGTTGGTTCAGCCTCCCATAAACCCCCTGCACCTCAAACCCTGAGACCCCAAAGTACACGGAAGAGAGTTGCGAGCCTTCAGCATGGAATTCTCAAAGTTTGAATCCTTAAGCCGAAGTCAACCCTCTCTCCCATACAAAAACCCAAAAGTTTGAAGCAACCCCAGGAAAGAGACACGAAATTCCTGCCAAACACTTACAAATCTTATAGGCACCCCTAAACCGTAAACCGTAAACCCTAAACCTCAAAGCCTCAAACCTACGACCCCAAGGCTCTCCTCCATAGCGGCCTCCTTCGCCTCGTTCAAAGGTGCCGGGTGTGAGTAGGGTTTCGGGTTGAGGGTTTAGGGTCCAGGGTTTTGGGTTTTGGGATTCGCGCCCTTTCTCAAATGGGGTGTTGTTCTACATGAGAGTCTACGTACAGGCAGTAACAAAACGAATCCTTTACCAAGCTTTTCCCTGCAAAAAACCCTCCGTTCCTGGACGTTGTAGGACAGCGGCTGGAAAGACGCGTTGCGGTGCTCAGTGTGGAGCAGGCCCAGGGAGAAGCGTCAGAGCATCTAAAGGAGCCCTTGATACGGCCAAGTCCTTACAAATAGGCTCAGTCAATATAGTGCAAGGGTCCCTCAATGCTCCAGAATATCCCTGAAAAGTCCCGTAATGGTCCCCTGTGGGATCGGGCTTCGGGGGTTGGGATTTAGGGCCAAACGAGTTCAGGGTTTGGGCAGCCAGATCCTTGGGTTAGGGTTGCAGGTTTATGGGTACTTGACAGTAGCCGAGAAGTAGGCAGCTTGTATGTTAACATTTTTCCCGCTAGTTAATTTCTGCCAGAGAACGCTGTCAAGCAGGCCCACGCCGCCAAAAGTTCAGCGTTCCGACCCCAAACGCAAAGTTTTGATTATTCTCCGAAAGTTCCGAGCACCCGCGTTGGCAGAGGAAACCCCGCAGTTCCCTGGGCCAGGAACTTTGCTTGGCGACCTGCTGGGTCCTGGAGCTTTTAGGCGGTTTGGGCTCTTGGGGGGTTGACCATTTGTTGGGTGGGATGTGGGGGGCTCAAGGCCAAGCCCCTATACCCCACACAGCCTTACGTAATTGACCCCCCCCAAGACTGAACCCAACCCTCTCCCCGTCAAGAAGGGCACATAGCAGTTTAAGCCTAGACATGAACGACCAAAGTCGGGATATTCGGACGAAGTGACATGGGTAGGTTTGAACAAGGAGGCACTCAGGCGATTTTTTATTTTTGTGCAGTGGTCGTGGCAATATGGGGAAGACGCCGAATAACTGTGTTCCACGTATTTTCTTTTCGTGTAAGCCAGCTTAGATTTCTAGCGAAATCAGTAAAGGAGAAACTGGTTAAGCAGATGTTGGGGTTGTTGAGTTCCCACGTTTCCCCCACTCCCAGAGCCAGAGACATAAGGGCTTTGGGTCTTGGGGTTTTTTAGGGTATTTGCATGGTTTTTGAGGGTCTCTCCAGATTTTCGATGAACCTGAAGTCTCTTGGCAGGCTCGCGCGCGAAAGGATTCGATGACGCGGAGGTTGGCCACAGTGGGCTTGGGATCTCGGAGTTGAGCCGTAAGACCTAAACCGTAAACCCCTAAACGCCTCAACCTCTAAACCTTAAACCGTGGGACGTCGGATGACATCTTGCAAAAACCCCTAAGAACCCTAACCGTTTAGCCGGTAAACCTGAAACCCCGAAACACCTTAGCCTCTAAACATTATATAAGCCCCTGAACTCCCCTACCTCCTAAGCCCCGAAGCCCCCCGAAGCCCTAAGCCAAGGCCTTTAACCCCTTAAATTTTAAACGCATGAGGGGGGGCGGGGGGGGCTTTCCGCGCGAGGCGCTGGTGGAAGAGGTGCGGGTCCGTCTTCTTGATAGTAAGGGAGTTGTGGCTTTATTGTTATCGGGTATTTGGGGCAGGAGTTCAGGGTTAAGGGTTGTTCAGGTTATACCCTAGGGTTCCAGGAGTGGGAGTGGGAGTACGAGGAGACAATGAACAAAAACACTGGGAAGGGCAGGAATGGGAAGATTTGGGAGTGAGAATGGGATGCCTGGACCCTGCGAGTGCCTGCACTCTAGCGGTACTGATTGCGTGGTCTGCAGGTGTAGGTTGGAAGGGTGGCAAGCTCCTTGGAATCCTCTCGTTCAAGGGTTTGGAAATGTTCACGAGCTTGAAGTTTTCTTGCACGCGTGAGCCCACATCGTGATGTGAATCCTTCTCTTCAGAGAACCTATGGCTAGCGCGCAGCATCAATTGCCTTGCTAACTTGCCTTCCGGTGCGAGAGCCTGGCGTTGCAAGGCCACTTTTGACCTGGTGTTGTGTGTGCCGGCCTCATGCGCTCTGAGTTCAGAGAGTTCGGAGGGTGCTTGCATCCATGGTCATGATGGTCATGATGGTAGCGGCTTGCGCCCTCATGAGTCACCCAAAGCCCAAGCCCTGAGCCCAGGACTTAGACTTGGCATCGGCTCTGCTGGAGAAGTTGGCTACGTGCCGACCTCTTCGGACTTAAGCCACAGTCGCTCTGCACTTGGGGTGTTAGGGCTTCAGGCCCGGGCAATTTTTTTGTTGCACTCCCCTAAAGAAACCCTAAACTTGAGGTCTTTCGGTTGTAAAGGAAAATTTATGGGAACCCCAAGCAGGCAACACGGGAACGTAGCAGGTGTAGAGTAGAAAGCAGGGTACCCTTAGGTGTCTGTATTTCCACTACAAAGCTATCATGCTTTTCGGGGATTCTCCTTGTTAGGTCCCTTTTTTGGGGTACCCTTTCGTGCTTTTTTAGGACATCCTTTGTGTTTGGTGGGCTGGGGCTGTTTGCTTGAGGATCTAGTTTTGAGTTTTTCTTCGGTTTTTTTGCGTGCAAGACTGGCTGCGTGAAGCCGAAGGCGGCCTACAGCTTTCAGCTTTAAGGCCTTTTCGGCCCTCAACCGCCCTGCACGACCCTTCAAGGGATCACAAACGAAAAGTCCCCAGAAGCCCTTAAGCAGATCCCTTAGCCTGAGCCGCTCCCCCAGGCCTTCAGGAAGACTCTCACTCAGTGTCGTCCTGGTGTGCCCCAAGCGCCGGGGGGCCTGGAGGAGAGGGTTTTGTGGTAAGGGGAGTTTTCTGGTAAGGGTTTTAAAAGTTTGAGTTCTCGGGTTTTGCATTGTTGCAGCTTGATGAGCCATTGCTGGGGATCTGGCTGCTCCTCCTGGTGCTTCTGCACGCCTCGGGGAGCTGCTGCTCACGAGGTTCTGCGTGCCTCGGGTTCTTACAGTTTCGGGTAGCAAGAAGTGCCTGTAGTTTAGATCCCCTCTTCCCATGATGTGTTGTCTTTCCGCTGGCGCTTGTGCTGTGTGTTGGTTTGGCGGTTTCCAGCATGCGTGGCTCGCGCTGAGTGTTGCTTTCGGGTCGTGCGGCCTTTTCAGTTGCAACATCGGCAGCTGGGGGGTCGTGTCAGTTCGGATTCCACAGTGTCGAGACCCCATATAGCTTATGCCCACTTGGAGGTTCATGGGTACTTATAGTTTATAAGTAGGGTTGCAAGCAAGGTAGCCTAGACTGGTACCTTGTCCTGATTACTTGTCACGCGACGCCGAAACCCAGAGCCTCAAACTTACAAACCCGAAGCCCTTAGCATCCTTAGCCCTAAGCCCCAAACTTACCCTAAACCCCAAACCCAAAACCCTAAACCCTAAACCCCAAACCCCAAAGACCCCAAGTACCCTAGAAATCCCCAGGCATGGACAAACGCCTCCTCGCCAGCTGCCTTGACCGTGGGGCCCGGGGTTACGTGGCGAAGCCGCTGCGTGCCGGGGGCCTCTGGAGGAGTAGGGTTTCGGGTTTAGGGTTTACGGTTTTCGGCTTGCGGTTTAGGGTTGAGGGTTTAGGGTTGAGGGCGGGTTGACGGGAAAGGCTCTTGGGTTTTTCGGGGTTTCCTAGGACCTCTACAGCTTGGGCGTGTCTAGGCGTTAGGGTTTCTCGTAAGGTTCGAAGCTGATTTTGCAACCTTTTCCAGTAACCTGTGCTCTTTCGGAGCTTCATATCATGCTGGACATGCGACGCCGATTCGATGCGAATACTCGGCTCCAGACGTGAAACGCGAGGCAGCTCCAAAGCCTAACTAAGCACAAATCGTCCTTCTGCCCACCCTGGTCCTCCCTCGCTAAGAGAGCTAGACGTCTCATGAAGCCTTTGGTGGCGCCAATCTTGAAGCAGGGTCTTTGGCAATTACCCCAGTTGCCGGAAGAAGCGCCAGAAGGAAGGTCATCTCACTCCAGAAGGCTACCAGCACGTGACAACCTCATGATTTCGCATGTTTTTCTCTTTCGACGGTCGTTCTTGAAAACAGATGGATCAGCACCGGTCGTTGTGTTGCGATACGGCACCCTTGTGCATTTTGCAGAGTTGTTTCGCCGGAATCCAAGAGGTTCTTATGATTCGGGGGGGAGGTCTGTCCCAAGCCCAGGAACCCCAGCGGTTGCTACGTTGCTTTGCCACGGGTTGTTGAGGTCCAAGCCATCCGTGGGGTGCTCCTGCGCTACGCAACACCGGAGGAGGCCCCGCAAGATCAAGTGGACCGTGCCCAAGGGGCCCCGAACTCTCAGAGGTTTACGAGCCGAACTCTCAGAGGTTTACGAGTTTAGGGTTCTTGCTACCCCCCCCCATTCTTGTGAAGCTTCGTTTCCGTAGCCAGAAATACTGCCGGGGGGATCCTATTCCCAAAGGTTAGGGTTGGGGTTTAGAGTTTCAGGTTCCAGGGTTAGGGTCCAGGGTTTGGGCAGCCCTGGCCCCTGCAGGACGCCGCGACCTCCCCGGCGGGTGGCGGCGCGGGGCACTACGAGCGGGCAGGGCCGTGGCACGTCTTGGGAGGGCGCTGCGTAAGTAACATCGGGGTCTGTTTGATCAGAATGTGCATCTTGGCGCTCATGGTAGGAGTTCTAGGGAGATGATATAGGCCATTATTTAGACGAACCCCACACCCAAACTCTGAACCTCTGTTGTTCTCACTCTTACTGCTGACCGCTGCGGGCCCCCTGTAGCATACGAACTCCGACGCAACGGGTGTTGAATGGTTGGAGCTGGCCTTGTTGTGGTAACTTACTCATAGGGTTGTAAGCTGTTTTCGTTCTTCGGTTGGTAGGGTTCGCGTAAGGAGGTTCGGGTCTATAGCTAGAGAAAATTCACGCGACCTGCCGCTGTCTTGCTCAAGCTACCCATGTTTTAATGTGGGTCCGTTGTTTGCGGAAAGCAGGAGCTGCTCCCCAGGCAAAGAGAAAGCACCAAACCCGAAGTTTTTTCGCGTTTGGAGCTTTAGGGTTCCGGGCTCCCTTCAGCGGCAGGGACGGTAGGGCCGGCAGGGTTTCAAAGCCCCCCCCCCCCCCGGGTAACAAGAGAGTTTACTCCCTTAACCCAAAGGCCTTAGCTCCGAAGATGTTGGAGGACTCCTGTGCAACGCTGAACCCTGGAGCCTCACCCCTAGGAGCTTCAGTCGAAGCACCTCCGCGCCCTTAGGAGCCTAGACGGTTTCCGAGATATGCTGCTGTTGTAGAGCCGGTTTGTTGGTTGCATCATATTCTAAGGGAACCAAATGGGGCTTTAGGGGGTTACGCTCATGAAAGGGGCCGCCAAAATGGTTCTTAGAACATTCGGGCCCCCCTACCGCCCTAAACCCAAAGAGTCCCTGAGCCCAGGCTTGCATATCTTCCGGAACGCCGGGGGCTCCCTTCCCCGGCACCCCCGGCACATGGTCAAGTCGACCGGGCCTCAGGGTGTCTTGGGGTTTCAGGGCTTTGGGGCTTCAGGGCTCTGGGGGTTTCAGGGCTTTGGGGCTTCAGCTTGGAGCCATGGGTGCTTGAGAAGTAGGGTTGTGAGAGGTGACCCTTGGCTGTGACCCTCAAGAACCTCAGTCGTCACAACCCATGAAAGCCTAGAAGGGATGGAGTTCTGAGGGTTTGTGGGGGGAGTTGGAGCCGGGTTTGTGGCTTGTTGGGGGCCCTCCGCACTCCTCTACCTGGGAGACCGTTTCGCAGAGGGGCTCGGCCGGGTTCCCGAGGCTTCGAGTTTTTAGGGAGCCTCAGGCTTGATCCTGCGCCCTCAGAACCCTAAGTCTCTCGGCCTTGGGGTTTATGGCGGGCTGCTTACTCCCACCACGTCCTGCCAAACTCCGATGCTTGCTAAGATGGATCGACAGACTGTCTGGCGACTTGGCCGCACAGCGGTTGCTGGCTTTGATGGCGGGGTTCGTTTTGGTAGGGGCCTGCTAGGGCGGCCAGTCACTCCAGTCCCTGTTCAGTAAGAAGGGCTTCATGTTCTCTGCAGGTGAGGAAGAGAGGGAGTCTCACAGGTGCAGCCGCTTGCCGCGAAACACCAAGCAAAGCAAAGCTGCAAATTCCCAGGCCACCGGGCCCTGAGAACCACCTCTAGCTGGGCCGGAGCCTAAGTCAGTTCAGGACGGAAGGCTCCCCGCTTAAACCCATTAAGCAGTCTATAACTTTTCTCTTTTCCGATATGGGCTTTTTCTGCAGGCGTTCAAGAGATTTGGAGGGGACGGCCTTTTCACTCTCTTTCGCTCCAGTTCGCTGGAAGCGTGGTCTTTCGCCCACCGTGCGATTTCGAGAAGAAGGCTTCCTACCCGGAGGCATTGAGCCTGAGGGTGATGCGCCAGACGGCTGAGCCTGAAAACTGACAAACGGACGTGCAGCTTGAGTCTTCCTGGGTTGGTTCTTGACATTTGTTGCCGCAGACCTAGGTGGTGAAGCACACGAACTCACGCACAGTGGCAGCGTGGCTTTGCATCGACCTCTTCATCTCCCTGGTCAGGGCCTTAGCTATGCTCCTTAAGCTCTATAACCCTTTTAGATCCCTGTAACCCTAGAACCCTGTAACCCTGTGACCTTAAAAACCCTGTAACCCTTCAACCCTTGCACTCCTGAAGCCCTATAAACCTCTGACCCGTGCAAACCCTTTAAGCCTTTCGCCCTACAACCTTCCCAGTAGCAATAGCCATCAGATTGCTGGCGGCAACTGAGCGACGTTGGCAGCTTCTGGTTCAGGTTGTACCCGCACCCCCACTCCGGCCCCCAACCCCTGCCTCCCGTCCCTAGTCTTTTGCTGTCTTCCAAATTCGGGTCACTTGCTCCAGGTGAACCTTATACTACACCCAGTGCGTCGTAGGTTTGGGTCACTTCCTCGTTTGCAGATGGCAGGATTGCGCGGAGTACTTTGCTTGTAGTCCTCGGCCTTCATTTTCGAGTCGCATGCGCAATGTCCAAACTTCGCACCATCAGAACCATGGGACCCAGAACCATGGGACCCTAAACCAATGACCGAAAGAAAAACTCCTCGAACGAACCCAGGGCCTCGGCGTCTACTACTTCTTCTTTAGATACGTCTCTTCGCTTGGCTGGCGCGGCTGGGAAAGGGGGGGATTTCGACGGCCAGGGCTTCACTCCTAAGTGCAGGGGACTGCCTCCGTTTTTGTTTGCGAGAGGCGGCAGGGCTCAAGAATCCTGCAGCTGTGTGTAGGTGGAAGCCCCCCTAAGCCCTAAATTGAAGCTCTCGGCCCAAAGGGCCCTTAAACCCTACATCCCTACAGCCGTCAGTTAGAACCCTTCGCCTCCGCCTTGAGCTGCAACCCGTCAACCTTGCCGCCGTCGCCGCCTTCACCGCCTTCACCCTGAAGCTCTAAATCTTCGAAACGTAAGCATCCGTGAAGCCTGAACCATCTCGTCAGGGTGCCCTTGCAGATGATGAACAGCTTCAAGTTCTACATCCTTGTGGCCGGCCTTCGGGCACCTGGGCCCGAAGCATTTGGGAGCATAAACGGGTTGCCTGTAAGTACCCATGAGCTCCACAGTATGGTTACGCGCTTACAGGGGCCCTTCTGTCTTAGGATCTCTCTCTGTCTCTCTCTCTCTCTCTCTATCTCTCGCTCTCTCGCAGTGCGCTTTTCCAGATGATTCTTGGAAGCTCGATCCCGGAAGCATAGGCCGGAAGGTTCCGTTGACCTCAGCAGCCTGAAAACGGGCGAGGGGACCCTGAACCCTAGCTCCCAAATCTTGCGCAGATAGGCGCATGTCCGGAGTTACTGAGCTGGTTAGTTGGAGGTCCCGTGCTGAACCCCCCCAAGCTTCCAAAACCTCTACAATTCCTCAAGTCCAATTCCTCAACCCCCAAACTTCCCCTTCAACCTGAGCTTGGGATTTCAGGGCAACGTCAAGCCCACAAAAACTCCTTGGAGCCCGTAAGCCGGTAAGCCCCCTCCAAGCCCAGGCGACGTGCACCCTCTGGGGCTCCTCGGAGTCGTTGTAGGGGTTCAAGGGTTCAGCTTATCAGTTGGATTTAAAAGACCCTGAGTTTAAGGAGGTGGGGTTAAGGTTTTTCGGAATGGAGGGCAGGGGCAGACTAGGGTCTGGGGTTGGCTCGACCTCCCAAGGGTTTTGGTGTGCAAGGTCCTTAACCGCGTAAGTTCCAAACCCTAAAACCCAACAAAGCCCCAAAATCCTGAGCCAAGAGCTGGGCTGAACCCTCTACCTTCTACGCCCTCAACACCCCGAAGCGAAAGAAAGCATCCCAAAAGCCAAGGCATCTTCTCGGTGCTGAGACGGAACGTCAGAAACGTGAAGAGGCGGCGGGGATGTGGGGTTTGTGTTTGGTGGCTTGGTGCCGGGCTCTTCTGTAAGAAGCCCATGCCTGTCCTAGCCGTCCTAGCCTTTCGAACCCAAGGTGGGGGATTGTTTGGTCAGCCGCAAGACTCTTCCAAGACCTCCCCAGGCCGCCTTGAGGCTCCCTGAGGCATGACTCCCTCCCCTAAGCTTCATGGCGAGTTTTGTGAGTAAACACCTGAGGTACTACACCGTCTTCCTCATCAACCTACTAGTTGCAGCCAGCGGCCCGGGAAATCGGCTAGGGATTGTGGCGGCTCTGGCTCGACTTCCCTTGAGGTCTTTAGTCTAGGCCTTTAGGGAGTTTAGGGAGTTTAGGGAGTTTAGGGATGTTAAGGAAGCCACGAAGGGAAGGAAAGGAAGGGCCTCTATAGCCCTAGGCCTTCAACCCCACATCTAAGCCCAGGAACCTCCAACAGCCCTTTCCGTCACCTGAAAGCTCAGGTCCAGGTCCAAACACTAAGCCCCAAACCCCGAAACCCCCAACCATAAACCCCAACAAGGCCCTTCAAGCTCTAAAACCTCAAAGCAAGCCCTCAACCCTAAAACCCTAATTCCCCTCAAGCCCTAATGCCCTAAATTCCAATGCCCTAAAACCTAGTTCCCCTAAAACCCGAAAGTCTCGGAACTTAGCAGCACGCAAGGCTACTGGTTGAAATCCGGTCAGGGAAAGTTTGGGGGTTGAGGGTTCGCGGTTTTAGGGGTTTATTGTAGAGGGGGCTGCCGTGGATCCGAAGCTGATGGTGAGGTTTGGCTGATGGTGCCCATTCTTAGCATGGACTGTGGCTGCACCAACTACTACCAGTGCGAGGTGCCTTGGTAAAAACCCCAGTCAATGTTCAGTGCTACTTTTCTCAGGATGAGCACTTGCTCAGCGACTGAGATAAGCACCGTCCTTTTTACAAGGAGCCCAGGGGGTGGGAGCGAAGCAATCTAGATTAGATGGCCGCTTGGATAACAGCTTTGAGTAGGGTCTTTTCTTGAGGGCCAAAGTGTTTTAGCTTCCAAGGGGTTGAGAGAATCTTGAGTGAACCATGAAGCCCTGGAAGCCCTGGAAGCCCTGGAAGCCCTAAAGTCCCCCCCCCCCGAAACCCTTCAAGCGTGCTCATCGGGCACGGAGTTCAGGCAGACTTCAGTGTTTTTGCAGGAAAGACAGGCCTGTGTTCCCGGCCAGTCACTCCAAGCACTCGACTTAAAGCCCCAGCAAAGCCCCCCCCCAAAAAAGTCTCAGCTCTCGTTACCCTGCAATGGCCTCTGGGCTCCCATATCTTGAGCCCTACTTGATG